GAGAGTTCTCCTCATTACGGATTACAAGACGCCACCCTAGATTCTTATTTTTTGTTGGACCCACCTTCGACTCTTAAGTATAAAAAACCTAAACTTTGTATGACATTATAATACAAAAAATTAAAAGAAAAATAACATGGTGTAAGAAGCAAAACCCTTCAAGCACGCACGGGGAAACAAAAAAAAAAAAAAAAAAAAAAAAAAAAACATTGTACAATTGTTAAAAATCAATTTGGTTGTTGTTGAGAATTAAAGTAGTGGAATATTAATTTAAGTATTGTGATCATCATTCATTTCATCCAAGCCATTATAATTAAAGATAAAAATAAAATACCAGCTCACCCCCAATCTCCCCTATCCCATGTCTCTTATGCACCTCCCCTTCCCCCTTTTTGCATGCCTATCTCTCTGTATTCTCTCCCTCTCTCTCATATGGGTTGGGTATGGTGAAGAAAAAAAAATCCAGATGCATCTCACTACCCAACCCAACTGAGAATTGGTCATCGTCTTCAGCATCTCGCCCCTATTCCGACTGAGAATTGCTCGTCAACCAATCCATATGCATCTCACCACCCAAGCTCTCTTGCTTCAGTGGAGTGAATTTTGCTGCTTAGTTTTAATTTTTTCATTTTAGTTGTTGTTTAATTTTGAACTTTTTTTTTAATAACCCTTATATTATAATTTATATCCAAGAGTGGGTGACCACAATTTCCTTGAACCACAGAAATCCAGAAGAATGGGATTGAGTAATTCATGTACTAATCATTTAACGAGCAACAAAACAAATCAAATCAAAGAAGCCGAATGCAAAACGAAGGAAGCTACTCCGAAACTCTATGATCAGATACCATCACTATAATACGAGAAACTTTCGTGTGTAATTGTAAGACCCCATGTAATATTAACCTAAATTATAGGAGCATTTCGATATAGCCTTGGTCAATAACCAAAGTGTTTTGAAAAACTCTCATATTATAGTTGTTGAATAAAAACCCAAGTTCCATTTATTAGTATCAATAAATATATAAATATTATATTAATATTGGGTTGGGTAGAGATATTTCCATATGTTTCACTTATGTCAAATCCACATTTGCAAGAAAATATTGTAGCTTGTGTCTAGGGGGATGGGACTCAAAGCCAATGGTTGAGTGGACACGGGAAGGCACCTTACCAAGTCAAGCCAAGTTAATACCTGCAAGTTGGGGCATGCGTTGGAAGACAATCACAACATTAAGTCTAAGACAATAGTTGGTTGAAAGGCAAACCACCATATCAAATCTAAGTCACAAGTCTTCGATCTCATCCATTAATTTCGCCAATATGCATTGATTTATAACTTGTTCACTTGGACCACTAACAAATTTTTCTTCAACTATCTTTTTCCACATAGTGACATGAATAAGAGTCAGTTGTACGTTGTATAGTTTTTTTTCTTCTTCTTTTTAGAAAATTTGGTATAGTCCACTTCTGATGACATAAGTGAAATTGGACCTATATCTAAGAGCTCCTTTTTCTTTTTTGTAAATTATAACGAAAGAGTTCTCCTCATTACAGATTACAAGACATCATCCTAGATTCTTATTTTTTGTTGGACCCACCCTCGACTCCTAAGTAGAAAAAACCTAAATTTTGTCTAACATTATGATACAAAAAATTAAAAGAAAAATATCAGGGTGTAAGAAGCAAAACCCTTCAAAACACGAACAATGGGGAAAGAAAAAAACACATTGTACAATTGTTAAAAATCAATTTGGTTGCTGTTGAGAATTAAAGTAGTGGAATATTAATTTAAGTATTGTGATCATCATTCATTTCATCCAAGCCATTACAATTAAAAATAAAATAAAATACCCAACCGACCCTCATCCCCTATCCCATGTCTCTGATGCACCTCCCCTTTCCCTTTTTTGTATGCCCCTCTCTATGTCTTCTCTCCCTCTCTCTCATATAGGTTGGGTATTGTCAGAAAAAGAATCCAGATGCATCTCACTACCCAACCCGACTGAGAATTGGTCATCGTCTTCAGCATCTCGCCCCTATTCCGACTGAGAATTGCTGGTCAACCAATCCATATGCATCTCACCACCCAAGCTCTCTTGCTTCAGTGGGAGCGTGTTTTGCTCCTTAGTTTTAGTTTTTCATTTTAGTTGTTGTTTAATTTTTAAACTTGTTTTTTTAATTACACTTATATTATAATTTATATCCAAGGGTAGGTGACACAATTTCCTTGGACCACAGGAGTCCAGAAGAACAAGACTGAGTACGTAATTCATATACTAATCATTTAACGAGCAATAAAACAAATCAAATTAAAGAATCCGACTGCAAATGAAAGAAGCTGCTCCGAAACTCTATGATCAGATATCCAACACTAAATATACTTAAATGTTTCGTGATCATCACTATAATACGAAAAACTTTTGTGTGTAATTGTAAGACCCCATGTAATATTAACCTAAATTATAGGGGCATTTCAAAATAGACTTGGTCAATAACCAAAGTGTTTGGAAAAACTCTCGTATTATAGTTGTTGAATAAAAACCCAATTTTCATTTATTATTATCAATAAGTATATAGGTATTACATTAATATTGGGTAGAGATATTTCCATATGTTTCACTTAAAGTCAAGTCCACATTTGCAAGAAGATATTTGTAGCTTGTGTCTAGGGGGATGGGAAGCAAACCCAATGGTTGAGTGGACATGGGAAGGCACCTTACCAAGTCAAGCCGAGTTAATACATGCAAGTCAATTGGGGCACGCGTTGGAAGACAAATCACCATATTAAGTCTATGTCAATAGTTGCGTTGAAAGGCAAATCACCATATGAAGTCTAAGTCACAAGTCTTCGCGATCTCATCCATTAGTTTCCCCAATATTCATTGATTTATTACTTGTTTACTTGGACCACTGAATAAGAGTCGGTTGTACGTTGTACAATTTTGTTTCTTCTTTTTTTAGAAAATTTGGTATAGTCCAATTCTGATGACATAAGTGAAATTGAACCTATATCTAAGAGCTCCTTTCAAAGAAAAAACATAAAAATGGTAAAATAAAGTAATTGAGCAATTAAAAAAGCAAAAGGAAAAAAAAATTACCGTTTGTTGACGTTTGAGTTAAATGTGGATGTGCAAAGACTTAAAAGTCTAGTTTACACTCAAGTATGTAGACTTAACAGTCTTTTTGTGTGAGTCAATCATCATGAGTTGGCATACGAAGACTTCAAAGTCTACTTGAAGATAGCTGTCCACAGCAAGCTCCTTGCCCATCGTTACAAATTCCGAAGATGGACCAATGCTCAATAGGATTTAAATAGGATAATTAGTTGATTTAAGGAATACCGCTTTTTCACGTGTTATTTTTTTATTGACTGGTGAAATATGTGTTTCCATAGATCTCACATTGATTGTCTTAGTAATTTCCTTTTCATCTAAAGAAAATTTATTTAACCCCCAAAAAAAAATTTACTCCATCTTGAAACGTTTCCCCTTAAACTTGTTTGCCACACTAATCACAAGGTATACTAGTAAATGTTTCAAACCACCTAGGATAATTTTTTCAAGCATTATTGTGGAGATAGCAAAATAGTGTTATTCCCGTTACAAGAAATGTTTTTCCTTTCTGACTGATACATTCAAATGTATTTGAAATTGAATCTACATATACAGGTTGGTTGTCCACATGGCATGGTATGAGAGCATCATTGAGTTGTCACTATTCAGCAAAACTGCATGCTATGTCACCGAACGTACACAATTCTTTTTATATTAAAAAATTAACCAAAATTTTAAAAATAGTACTTTTATTATTTTATCGAAATTAAAAAAATAATACTTTTTATTCCTGCATCTTACTTTTTAACTCATGCGTCATCATTAATTTGGTTTCTATAAGTTATGATGGAACAATTATAGTGTACTTAATTTAATTACCTCCATAATGATTTGTATTCTTGTTTGTAAGAACTTAGAGCATCTCCACCCACAAGGGCTAAGTCTAGGGCAAGGGCAAGCAAGGGCTGTCACTATTCACATGAATAGTGTCAGCCTTTGCATTTGTGGTTCCACCCATGAGGGCAAAGTCTAGGGCAAGTCTAAGGCAATTACTATTCATTGTACTTTATTTCCTATTTTTTATATTTTAAACCATTAATTTTGATAAGCTTTTTAGATTATATTTTCGGTTGTCACGTATCACTATTTATATTTTGGATGAAGATTTGGTGTGGAAAGTGAATAAAATTGTTAGGTATTTATAGGGAAAACATCCAGAATTTTTTGGTATTTTTTTTAAAAAAATTTGAATTTTTTTGCAATTTTTTATGCCATTTGTTTTTTTTTATACAAATGGAAAGTAGTAGAAAAATGTGAGGGAAAAAATAAAATGGTTATGTATTTATAGGGAAAAAATACAGAATTTTTTGGTATTTTTTTTAAAAAAATTCAGATTTTTTTCGATTTTTTTTGCAATTTTTTTAGCCAAAAAAACGAGGACTGTCGGATTGTTGGAAAAAAAAAGGATCGAAGAGTCAGGGTTGCGACACGTGGCACAGTACCGTGCGATGATGTCACTCTGACGTCATCGAACTCGGGCTGAAGCCCAGTGGAAACTTGCCCTTGGGCTTGCCCGGGCTGGTGGGACCCAGGGCTTGCCCGGGCTGGAAGTGCAGCGCTGGAGCTGTTTTGGGCTATCTGGGGGGGCCTTTTGCCCGACTCTGTGCCTGCGGTGGAGGTGCTCTTAGAATTGCACCTTGACATTCTAGTCTCATTGTGATTGACTGTGATTTCCATAACATTAATTTTGCATTGTATATAGCAGATAATTTACTCCTTTATATGGTTTTGTCTTGTATGAATGTGTGGCTCTGCTTTAGCTAAACCGTGTTTTTCTTTGTAAAGGCTTTCTTCCTTTTTTCCTATATATATCTGATGCAAGCTAGCATATATGAGAGACAACCATACATCAATATATACTTGCAGTGTTTTTGATCAATTAACATGAAGGGCGACGGAAGGTGCTTGAAACTCTTTCTTGCATTTTCGATCCTTTTCCTACAAAACGTAAAAGGAGGAGAAGTTGGCCACAGCCACAACCACAGCCACAGCCTCAGGGATGCTAAAGTGACAGTGAGGTGCATAGAGAGGGAAAGGCAAGCACTACTTGCATTCAAACGTGGCCTGGTGGATGACTTCAATCAACTCTCATCTTGGGGTTCAGAAGCCGAAAAACAAGATTGTTGCAGATGGGAAGGAGTCTACTGTAGCAACCAAACTGGCCATGTGATTCAACTTCATCTTGGATATTCTGTCCCTGAATATTCTTTCTTTGGATATTCTTTCCAAGGTAAGATGATTAGTCCTAAACTGATTGAGTTGCAGCATTTACAATATTTGCACCTTGCATCCATTGATTTCAATGGGAACCAAATTCCTGATTTCATTGGTTCTCTAACCAATCTAAGAAACCTCAGTCTCAGTTCCTGTAATTTGGGTGGTCAAATTCCAAGTTCGTTTGGAAACCTCACGCAATTGCAACATCTCGACCTCAACTATAATCATCAGCTTCAACCAGAAAATCTCAATTGGCTCCCTGCTCCTTCTTCTTTAACGTATTTGGACCTTTCATTGACTAAGTTCAATGGGAGCCAAATTCCAGATTTCATTGGTTCTCTAACCAATCTAAGAAACCTCAGTCTCAGTTCCTGTAATTTGGTTGGTCGAATTCTAAGTTCGTTTGGAAACCTCACGCAATTGCAACATCTCGACCTCAGCGATAATCAGCTTCAACCAGAAAATCTCAATTGGCTCCCTGCTCTTTCTTCTTTAACGGATTTGGACCTTGGCGGAAACTTCGATGGGAGCCAATTCCCGATTTCATTGGTTCTCTAACCAATCTAAGGTCCCTCAGTCTCCATTCCTGTAATTTGGTTGGTCAAATTCCAAGTTCGTTTGGAAACCTCACGCAATTGCAAAATCTCGACCTCAGCTATAATTATCAGCTTCAACCAGAAAATCTCAATTGGCTCCCTGCTCTTTCTTCTTTAACGGATTTGGACCTAAGCGGAAACTTCGATGGGAGCCAAATTCCCGATTTCATTGGTTCTCTAACCAATCTAAGGTACCTCAGTCTCTATTCCTGTAATTTTGTTGGTCAAATTCCAAGTTCGTTTGGAAACCTCACGCAATTGCAACATCTCGACCTCAGCGATAATTATCAGCTTCAACCAGAAAATCTCAATTGGCTCCCTGCTCTTTCTTCTTTAACGCATTTGGACCTAAGCGGAAACAATCTCAGTACTGTTTTCGATTGGCCAGAAGCAGTACTTAATAAGCTCCCTAAACTAGTAGAGTTGAGATTGGTGAACTGTAGTCTTCCTCCTCCTCCTACTCCAATTCTTTCCACTACTCTTTACAAAACAAATTCTTCTACATCTCTTGCGTCTGTTTATCTCTCTGACAACCATCTCACTTCTTCAATATTTCTTTGGTTGTCCAACTACAGTACAAGCCTTGTTAGTCTTGACCTCTCCAACAATAATCTATCTGGTTTCATTCCCGATTTCTTTGGAAACATGAGCTCTCTTGTGGATCTGGATCTCTCTCACAACCATCTCACTTCTTCAATATTTCTTTGGTTGTCCCAACTACAGTACAAGCCTTGTTAGTCTTGACCTCTCCTACAATAATCTAACTGGTTTCAATTCTGATTTCATTGGAAACATGAGCTCTCTTGCTAGTCTGTCTCTCTCCAACAATAATCTAACTGGGTTCATTCCCGATTTCATTGGAAACATGAGCTCTCTTGTGGATCTGGATCTCTCTGATAACCAGATTGATGGAGCGAATCCAAATTCGTTTGCAAGGTTGTGTAATTTGGGAACATTGTTGCTTCAGAGAAATCATCTGAGTGGACAATTATCCAAGTTTGTTCAACTATTGCCTAGATGTGCTCAAAACTCATTAGGGTATCTGGACCTCTCTGAGAATGTTCTTAAGGGGTCATTAAACAATCTTACAAGCTTCTCATCTTTGAAATCGTTGAATCTTAGGGCCAATCAATTAAGCGGAAAAATACCTGAAAGTATTGGGCAAATGTCGCAACTGGAGGAATCGATTTCAGCAAAAACTCTTTGGAAGGGGTGGTTTCAGAAACTCATTTCTCAAAACTCTCCCGTTTAGGTTATTTGGATTATCCTATAACTCACTAGTTTTAAATTTCCATTCTGATTGGGTTCCTCCCTTCCAGTTGCGTTCCATACAGTTGGCGTCCTGCAAGGTCGGTCCTCTTTTCCCAAAATGGCTTCAAACTCAAAATGATTCTTCCTGGCTTGATATTTCCAATGCTGGAATTTCTGATATCCTTCCAAGTTGGTTTTGGAGTAATTTTCGTAACGCAAAGGTTATTAATCTCTCACAGAACCAAATCAGAGGAATATTTACAAATTTGACAGTGGAGTTTGCACATTACAAAGAACTACATTTGAGTTCCAACCAAATAGAAGGTCCAATTCCCTCAACTCTATCACAAGCCTCCTATCTGGATCTCTCCAATAATAAAATTTCAGGGTCTCTTTCTTTCCTGTGCGCAAGTGCAGATATGATTTTAGCGTATCTTAATCTTTCAAGCAACAGTTTTGCTGGAGAACTTCCAGATTGCTGGAGCCATTTGGAGAATCTAGTCATGCTTGATTTGAGTAACAACGCTTTTTTAAAAAAAAAAAAAAAAAAAAAAAAAAAAAAAAAAAAAAAAAAAAAAAAAAAAAAAAAAAAAAAAAAAAAAAAAAAAAAAAAAAAAAAAAAAAAAAAAAAAAAAAAAAAAAAAAAAAAAAAAAAAAAAAAAAAAAAAAAAAAAAAAAAAAAAAAAAAAAAAAAAAAAAAAAAAAAAAAAAAAAAAAAAAAAAAAAAAAAAAAAAAAAAAAAAAAAAAAAAAAAAAAAAAAAAAAAAAAAAAAAAAAAAAAAAAAAAAAAAAAAAAAAAAAAAAAAAAAAAAAAAAAAAAAAAAAAAAAAAAAAAAAAAAAAAAAAAAAAAAAAAAAAAAAAAAAAAAAAAAAAAAAAAAAAAAAAAAAAAAAAAAAAAAAAAAAAAAAAAAAAAAAAAAACTCAATCCGATATCGATTGGTCCAAGAAATCGGACTATTCAGGTGACAGGACCCGCCCCGAATTTTTCACAAAACCCGAGATGAATCCTGCGGAGACCCCGGCATCACACCCATGCCGGGTTCACACCTTAAAAAGATAACCTCCTTCCAAAGGAGTAAGGGCACGAGACTTTCTGCCGAAAATTTGGCAGAGTCTCCCCTGTAATTTGAACATTTCCCAAAATTTCCACCTGCATAAAACAGAGTTTTATAACCCAACAGCTGCACGCACAATAAAATTTCATGCAATTCATCTAATTGGCCACCGGCCTTCAATTATTCCGAAATTGAGCTGCCAACAAAGTCTTTAGATAAAAATTTCCTTAAACATGGCAAGAATAAGCTCAAACACATTTATAATTGCCGAAAGCAAAACTCACCACTAACTTTCCCCAATCCAGCAGGCGAGGTTTTAACATGCATCAATTATCATCTATAAATTATCACCAATTATTCCAAGGCCTCAGCCCAATATACCACACACTTTATTCAATAGTACACCTTCACAACCCTCCCTTAGCCAACCGGGAGTATGAACAAAAATCTAAACATACCTCGATTTCAAACGAGGTTCAAGACCAACAACAAGGTTCGCATCACACTCAACAAAACACATAATTAGAGTTTAACCCGCGGCTGCGCCTAGTCACTTCAGGCTGCCTACGTACCCTTACTGAGGGATCAAGCCACACGTAGTTCTTTCTATCAACGGTCACATCTCCGATAATATACAATTAATTAAAGCAGAACCAACAAATGCATTTCACATTTATCACCGATCAATTTCCCACTAAACACAAAGAACACATTCTCAAACTCTTCCTTTATATCAAAACAAGCTGCAACCATACCCTATCCAAGGCGTATGTTGCCACCCATTACTCCCCAATCCGGGACTCAGACCATGCATAACAATGTAGGGTAATCACAAAGCACAACCTTACGAATAAACATATATATAAATCCAGAAACAAATCCACGTATAATCATATATAAATAAGCACACCCTACCTCTCACCATCATCATGTACCAGGGGAAAACAATCCAATTCAGGGATTGTTTGACTAGTCCACATGGCAGAGCCATTCCTCAATTCACCATGTGGCTAGGGAGCGAGCCATCCAACCGGGGGACTAACTCTCAACCAGCACATACAGCCGACACAGTCAAAGCTTGTACGCCTGAAATACCAGTCCTACGCGCGCAGACTACCCCAAATCCAGGGTCCACAGCAACATCCCCTCAAGGATGTCCTGAGTTCTAATAACTCCAAAAGTATCCAATGTTCGTAACCAAATGCAGATCAGGGGAGGTACATATGATGATGTACATCATGTACTAGGGAAAACAATCCAACTGGGGATCGTTTGACTAGTCCACATGGCAGAGCCATTCCTCAATTCACCATGTGGCTAGGGAACGAGCCGTCCAACTGGGGGACTAACTCTCAGCCAGCACGTACGGACGAAGTCAAGACCCGTACGCCTGTAAACAGTCCTACGCGCGCAGGCTACCACCCCTCAGGGTCCACGGCAACATCTCATCAAGGATGCCCCGTATTTCAACATATCCAAACCATATCATAATATTCCCGGCATCCCACAATTCCAGGATCCGTAACCAAGAAAGCCCACACGCCCGAAACACGGCACGTGTGTAAATAGTAACCAGGGAAGGTACGTATGATGGTGGAGTTCGTAACCCTTATCACAACATTATAAAATGATATTTTCTTCCTTAATTCAATTGTTCCAAACCTCTATACCTTTCGGATCTATCATAATTCTAAATCAGATAAAAACACATTGAAACATTAACACTTCCTTTCCAAGGCATCGTATCAAGAAGATATTCGAAGGGCCTGGACAAACTCCGACGGGCCTGGGCAAAATAAATCTCAAAACATAAAACCCATAACCGAGGAGGTATTTAAGATAGTGCGTAAAGCACTGCAAACTAACAATCTATACTCTTTTCATACCTTTATAAATACATACAAAAATATATAAATTTCTAATATTGTAAGCACCTCAACGACAATTCACAGGGTGGCACTTATAGTGCCCTCAAGCATCTTTATAACAATAATAATATATATTTAAATGCATCAACCTCAACCCCAAGATATAACATCCGATAAACCCCCAATTTATCACCATAAATTGATATACTAAACCCACATAATCAATCTCACTCAACAACTCTCAAGACCTGCCACTAGGGTCATTATAATCTTCCTAGGAAGGTGACACTACCTAGGAAGTCTCACAGTCAACCCAGGGTCAAACTACCCAGTCTCAGTCAAACGGGCCCTCGGGTCCACGACCTTCAAATTCCGATCCGACAGTTCCTATAGGTCCTACAAGGTCTAGGACACACGTCCTGCAAGTTTGATCCAGATTGGAAGGTCAGATCGCTCACGATCAGACGATCGGACGATTACTAAAACCCTAACCCTAGGGTTGGCTTATCCGGAGTATATGGGACTTCGTTTTACGATCCGTCGAATCCTATACGATCCTAGTAATGCCTAGATCAACATATTATAATCTCAGGACCATCCAACGGTCCAAACCTAACGAACCCAGAAAATACGCAATATGCGATATCCGTTCAAGGCTCTAACGGTATCCAAATTTAGATCCGCAAAATCCTACGCGCTCATGACATCAAGGGGGTCACATTGGGACAAAAATGCCCCAAGCTACCGTGCCCACGCGCCGCCACACGCGTCGGCAGCGCTTGGGTGTCCAAAGCGATATCGCATCGCCGGAAAACTTCCAAATCGAGAGCCAAGACTCCTACCCTAGGTAATACACCTAATTTGGAGCCACTTTTGTTCTTGTACATACCCCAAATTATCAACGGAAGTGGCCGGAAATTCAATTTGAAAACCGGCTGAAACCTCATTCGTCCATTTTGGTTGAGAAATGAGAGAGAACGAAGACTTGGAAAATCTGTCAAAATCTGTTCGAAAACAGCTCGGATTTCTTCAATTTCCAGCCAGTACCGGCGATTCCAGCGGCTGAAATTGGTCGGGATGGGAAGAAGGAGGCAGCCCGGTTCTTTTGGGTCTGATCTCGAGACCAGCCGTGGCCTGTAACGGCAGTGGTGGCTCCTTGGAGCCACCGGCTGTGTAGAGCAGGGCTGCTCGCGACCCGCCGAGAGAGAGAGGGTTTTCAGCTTTTATTACAAACCCATTTCGAAATATTTACGATTATACCACTGAGGGTATTTTGATCGTATCTCTCTCGTTACAACTCCGATTCGAGCCCACTACGTGTCTACGGACTCATCTCGCCGTGCTCTATGCAACGGTACTGTTGAAATTTCCAAATTCCATCCCGCTCAAAAAGTCAACTCTAAACCTCACAAAATATTCTAAGGGCAAAATGGTCCTTTTATATGAATAAATAATATTCACCAATTTATTTAGGACTGGGTTGTTTACATCAGGTTCGTAGCAAGTTCGTTCAGAAATGGAGTAGGAGGGGGAAAAAAAAAAAAAAAAAAAAAAAAAAAAAAAAAAAAAAAAAAAAAAAAAAAAAAAAAAAAAAAAAAAAAAAAAAAAAAAAAAAAAAAAAAAAAAAAAAAAAAAAAAAAAAAAAAAAAAAAAAAAAAAAAAAAAAAAAAAAAAAAAAAAAAAAAAAAAAAAAAAAAAAAAAAAAAAAAAAAAAAAAAAAAAAAAAAAAAAAAAAAAAAAAAAAAAAAAAAAAAAAAAAAAAAAAAAAAAAAAAAAAAAAAAAAAAAAAAAAAAAAAAAAAAAAAAAAAAAAAAAAAAAAAAAAAAAAAAAAAAAAAAAAAAAAAAAAAAAAAAAAAAAAAAAAAAAAAAAAAAAAAAAAAAAAAAAAAAAAAAAAAAAAAAAAAAAAAAAAAAAAAAAAATTATTGTCCTCCTATTGCGCTTTATCACAAGTTCATCATTTTGGTCTCTCTTAGCTCACGCAGCTCTCTCTTCATCTCTCTCTCTGGCCCAGCTCTCTTTCTCTTTGTATAGGTCTATCGCAGCTCTCGTCTCTCTTGGCTCTCTCCTCCCTCTGTAGCACACTCTCGTTTCTGTCTTTCTCTTTCTCATAACGCAGCTCTTTCTCTCTCTCGATATTTCTTTATGTCTTTTTCTTCTCCCCATATTCGGTCTGCTCTGTTTGGAATCGCGACCCCCTACCTCTATGTAGTGGTCTTCTGAATAGCTGCTTGCAACCGTGAAAGCTCTAGGGATTGCGACCTCGAAAAGGTAGTGTTGATGGTTATTTCTTTAATATCAGTGGGATTATGTGAAATGGGTTACATTTGATTGTTTGGGTTTGTGTTAAATTTTGTTTTGGCTTTAGTGCTTTGGGTAGGTTTGTTGAATATTCCATCGCTGATTCATCTGGGTTTTAAGCCATGCACTTAGATTGGTCGTGATATGTGAATCTTGAAACGTGTGAATTTCCATTTGATGTTGTAGATCTGTTAGTGTAGATTCTGATGTGTTACAAGAACGCGGGGGGCTCTGGACCTTGAAGAACAATGTGGACCAAGGTAAGGGCGGCCAGTGTTCCCTCTTATTTTACTGTCGTCTTGTTGGTATGTTGCTGTTTATAAAAAGTGCCATATACTTGACATTTATATAATGCGGTTATATTGATATTTTATTGTTGTTTCTCTTGCTGTTCTATTGCTGAGTATATGCGATGCGTCTATTGATGGTTATATTGTGTTAATGAACTGTTGTTTTGGGCATGGTCAGAAATGGCGACATTGTTAGTCTCGTGTGCTACTGGAAACGGGTCACCTCGAAGAAGCATGTGCAAACTACGAAGGAGTGTGACTCAACGCTACATGGATCCACGACCATACATTTGCTGACTTATACCGTGGTGTGCATCAGATTTGGTAAATACAAACGCAGGAACGACAAGGTTTGCTTTCAAATTCTCAGTTTTGGTGGCCTCGAATGATGGAAGCACATAAAGATTGAGAGATGATGATGTCATTTTTTTTGCGGAAGTACAATTCTGTAGGTAACACCTTCAAAGACTACTCCCTTAATCGTGAGTTACCTGAAGATAAGACTCACAAAGTATGTGTGATAGTATGCATAGTCACACAAATAGTAGTCGGACTGGGTGTTCTTCAGTCGCGCCTTTGTCTGAAAGCATGAAGTAAGTTGGAAAGAATACAAATGGCCAATGATGTGGAGGTGAGTAGGGCACAATTATTATGGATAACTGATTGCTGAGCGAGAGTGGAGGACTCCATGTGGTGTGATAATGTAGCTGACAGAAAATGTATCGTGCTCAGTGTACTCTGCCTCCTCATTGTGGGCTGCGTGAACCCATCTGCCCAACTGCCAATACTGCTTTTAGGAGGAGAGTCTGCAAGCAGTCGTGCACAAATATTGGAATCAAATTGGTGAACAAAACCGGTACAATGAAGCCCGTGTAAAGATGGGGAAGCAGATGTGGATAGCGGGTTGTTCGCGAAGTGAGTGGAATCCGAAAAGTACAGTTGGGCAAATTCTCTCTAGTAAGAAAGCCTTGTATGACGATTTACAGTTGCTCAATAGAGGGACCACTTCGAATTTAAGGTTCCAGTGCTCCTGCACACAGAGAGTTTGTTGTGGTTTTGTTGTTACACAGCGGTCCGTGGCCCATTGGCCGGTCCCGAGCAATCGAGATTTGAGACAGAACAAACAGCTTCATCTGATGTGAGGCTGTCACACTGCCCATGATGTGATTTAGTTCATGCTGAACCACCATCCTCAAGCACCCGTCCACTGAGGCCACGTCATGAGTAAAAGGGAAGGTTGAGAGGATCTCTCGTACAATATAGAGCCCACAAATGCTGACATTATAAAGATGTTGAACAACTTTGAGTTTAATGAATCCAATTTCATCTCCGAAAGCTGGACAAGCAAGGGAGTTACTCTATTGGCCCCTTATAGACGGATCACAGAGGAGCCATTATTAGTCGTCTTGCATCGCTTATATGTCTAATGAATGTGGAGCGCCTATTAATCCCGGGCACAAAACCACATCCAACTGATGAGCAACCATCACTTTGGTGTATCGTACTATTATGGCGGCGTTGAGCGCTACTTATTAGACCGCGGTTTTGTGTTCTTACCGATGCGGCCAGTATAGCTTAGATGCCAACTCGATTTCCAAAATCCAAAGTACAAGGGGTGTTATTGTTTTTAGCAATGCATTCGATGGAAGAATCGAACATGTTATATCATCAGCTTGCTTTATTGTGGTACTGGTGGATTTGGGCGCGGATGACATATCATGCATTGGTCTAGGCGTTCACTAAATCTTCATGTAAGAGCAGTGGTGTGAGCTGTCCCCAATCTTGTCGTATTATGTCTGGATCGAAATGTGGTAGCATACCTGAAATATGTGGAAGCACAAAGTTTTTCCAACTGCGCACCAAAGGCTAATGTCTTCTTATATAACAACGGGAACATGAACGCACGTGGCAAGTGAAAAAGCGGAATCCCAATACTTATGCACTTTAGCAGCTGCGAATCTTATTCCATTGCTGAATTTTGATTGTCATTTTTCGCAAGATCAAGCGAAAGGAACCTGTTGCTCAATATCTTGAAGAGGCAGGGTTACATAAGTGGTTCTGAGGCTCAACATGATGTGACGCCGCTACATGTAATGACAACACAAATATTGCGGAGTCAATCACTCAGTCCCTTAGTTTGCAAGGACGCTGCCAGGGGTTCATTGATAGGGGAAATATGAATCTCCTTGTCAAATGGTTCACCACAGCGTGGTTTGGCTTTGAAGTGCACAACCAACATTGTGCCCCAATTTTGGAGAGAAGAAGTTGATGGAACAGTTGTGGGTAGGATGCTGGCAAGAGATGAATGTTTAAGTGAATAATGCACAGTTTAATGTTTTGGACGGTCATATGGAATGGCCTCGTAGATTTGACGAACAACACTTGCAGTTGTAGAAGTTTCAGCTTGAGCAGCTACCTTGCCAGCATGTAGTTGCAGTTTGCCGCTTCTTGAAAGTAAATGTATACTCAAAGGCTTCTCGGTATTACACTCGGAAAACCTGGATGGATGCTTATTCGGATAGCATCTACCCGATACAGCCTCACGGAATGTGGGATATTCCTGAAGATGTTCGAAGTCGAGTTGTGCTGCCTCCCATTGCAAGGGTCAGGCCAGGCAGACGAAAGAAGATAGAATTCCCTCGCAAGGAGAGGGCACCATTAGAAGAAAGTGCTCAAGGTGTGTTTCCGCAGGCCACAATAAAAGCACCTGTAAAAACACTATTCCAGTGCGCAATGTATCTTAGACAATATGATTTCTTTTGCTTTGGTAGGTCATGTCAACTTTTACTTTTATTTGTGGTGTGTTTCGTGTTATGTTGAATGGGAATTCTTTTACATTTGCATAATTTGGGTTGCATTGCTACAGCACATGCTGTATTGCGTCCAGATTGCCATTATATTGTACTTTTATTGCATGGTATTACTTCCATATTGCTATTATAATTTGAGTGCGAAATTAAAGGGCCTGGAATGTAATTCCAAATGGATCCAAAACATTCAAGTTCTTTGAATTCCTTTATGACACAGTTACCGTGATACTCCGACTATACCTTCTTTTGTGATTACAAATTCGGCCGATGCATAGGCCACATGTGGGGCAAATACAAGGTGAAATGTCCTATGTGTTTGACTACATATCGTTGTTGAAGGAGCATTACGAATGTTAACCCCAATAGATTGCTCATGTCCAATGGATAATTTAGGGGTTGAAAGAGGAAGGAGCACGAGGTTTTTGGGGTGTCATGTTTCTGTAATTTAGGGGGGGGGGGTGTGATGGATGCTACAAGGCATGCATTATATATATAGAGTTCATTTTGAAGGTCTGTAATGTAGGTCATATGTCTTTTAAGGGATGTATAATTCATCCTTTTTCCAGGTTTGTAATTACTTTTATTTTTTGTATTTTTGTATTTTTTTGGACCAAATAATTTTAAAAACATTCTGATGACTACGTACTGTAATATGATCATATTGTAACCCTATCACTACTCTATTGCACCCTTATTGACATAATATTGCCATTATACGCATGTTTATTGCATAGTTATTGCTGCTATATCGCCACTCAACTGGACACTGATAAACTGTATACGCACAAAAACAAAAAGAGGCATCATCATTCCATAAAATCCTATTTCCAAACTACATAATACAACAACATACAAAAAAAAAAAAAAAAAAAAAATACAACAACAGGCCACCCCATCGTTACATAATACAAAAAGGGCGACCTCATAGTTCCATTTCCCTGCTATTGACAAATTCGAAGTTGCATACTCTTCAAGTGCGGCGACCACGACCCATGAAATTCATGACCCCGGCCACAGTCATGTTGTCCCAGTTTCCTGCCGGATCCACTATTTTTGCAAACTTACGAAATAGTTCGAATCCGCTTTCCCACTTCTTGTTGCTTCAACTTGGCCATTTCTTCTGATTCCTTGAATACCATAATTGCAGTGGCAGGGGCAATTTCAATTTTTTCCTTTCATTGCCTTTATATGTAGGAGATGCATGCGGGCATGAGATAACGAGAGCGAATTGTGCGGTTTTTTATGACACCCCATCTAGCTGGCCCTCCACAATTTTTGAAACTATGTCTGCATGGAGATTTTTCCAAAACATTGTATTGCCTCGCATTGCTGCATGCCATGGACCAAGTCTGCATGAGTGAATTGGGTGACTTGCCTTCTGTTTCAATCTTCCCTCCTTCAGTAATTGAAAGCGTTTGGTTTGGTGTGAGGTTTATGATCCATGGTCTTCGATATTTATTGTAGGCTGCTGTATGACTTAATTGGAAATAAAGGGGATGGAGTGAGGCTGATGGGAAGGTAATGGCTGCAGTTAATGTGATTGCCGTTTTCACCTTCCTTCAGCTAGGTTAGGCAGCCTTTTCAGCATGGAGTACATGACAGAGTTATTGGCGGGAGGAATGAGGGGGAGTAATTGGCGGCGGGAGGGATTGGAGGGAGGGATTGGCGGGAGTCTTAGGCGGGATATTCTTGGGCGGGAGTTATTACCCCTTCACTGTATGACTTTTTCTAATATATTTCTATTTTGGATGTTTCCGAACTTGGTAATTTTCCCATTATGTAATTCAAATAAGGGATTTGCCTATTTGCCTAATTGACCAACTCATTCAAATTGACCAATATGGTTATTGTCTTATTCTCATTTCAGCAATCTCAATTCGTTTCCATGTTTTCCATTTTTTCATATTTTCCTATTTTCCATGTGTCATCCAATTTTTCATTATTTTTGCCTATTTTCCTATTTCCCATTTTCGTATTTTGCAATTTCCCAAGTTTCCTTTTATACTATTTCCAGTTTTCCCAATCTTTTCAATGTTCCTATTTTCCCATTATGTAATTAAAATAAGTTGCCTACTTTGCCTAATTGAGAAAGTAAATAAAATTGTCCAATATGGTAATTGTTTTATTTCCCATTTCCACAATTTCAATTCGTTTCCAATTTGCCTATTTTCCACGTGTCCCTGTTTCCTATTTCCATTTATCCAATTTTCAGTTTTTGTCCAATTATCCAATTTGCTTTTTTCCAATTGCCCTATTTTCTAAGTTTCCTTTTTTTCCTATTTCCAATTTTCCAATTTGCTAACTTTCCTTTTGTTGTATTTCCAATTTTGCTATTTTCAAAGTTGCCTTATTTCCTAATTTCCAATTATCCATTTATCCAATAGTCCAATTTTCCAATTATCCAATTTTCAATTTTCCAATTTGCGAATTTGCCTATTTTCCAAGTGTCCTTTTTTCCTATTTTCCTATTTCGATTTTTCGAATTTTCCTTTTTTCGAATTTTCATGTTTTCAGAGTTTCCTTTTTTGCCTTTTGCCTATTTTCCAAGTTTCCTTTTGTTCAATTTCCAATTTTCCAATTTTCCAAGAGTCTTTATTTTTCCAATGACCCAATTTTTGAAGTGTCCTTTTTGGCTTTTTCCAAATTTCCAAGTGTCCTTTTATCCTATTTCCTAGTTTCCTGTTTCTAATTTTCCTTTTTTCCTATTTCCACTTTTCCAAAATTCCAAGCTTCCATTTTTTTGTATTTTCGTATTTTTGTATTTCCGATTTTCCAAATTTCCAAATTTCCAAATTTCCAAATCCCAATTTGTAAAATTTTCCTTTTGTTCTATTTCCAATTTCCAAGTTTCCTTATTTCTCATTTTCCAAGTTTGCACTTTTGCTAATTTGCTATTTTGCTATGTTCCAATTTTCTTTTCTGAAATTCGCAATAAATGCTTAGTTACATAGTCCTTGTTTGGGGTTCAAATCCACACTTTCCAATTTCCCATGAAGGTTAGCTTTTTTTCCGTTTGTCAGCCCATTTTATTGTTGTTAATGTAATGCTGTACTGCTGTGAATTACAGCCAACGAGTTAATGGTCTACTTTGCAATCCCATCAATTGAATGCACCACCTACATACCGAATGTACTTAATATCAATTCCTACATATAACTCAAGCTTCCTATCAATAATTGCAACTTAGCCAACTTCTTCAACCTCAGAAAGGTAATGAGTCGTACTCAAATGCAAACATTCAGTCGCCAGGTGTGAATTGTCCCCATCAATAGTTCAAGATGTCGGATGTACGCCCTCCAAACGAGCATGGCAGTTACCCGGGGACCAGCCATGGCATGTGCCATTCCCATCTCCACCTCCGACTCCCAATCATGATCCCACTTCATCTGGAAGTGAGGCTGAGAGCAGTGATCCGCTTGACAAAATCTCAGCCGTCAAGCACGACCTCCAATATTTGTCTAAGGCAACAGATTGGTGGGAGACTAAATGTGATATTCATGGCCAAGTTATGGGAAATTTGGCCAACAAGTTTGAACAAAGCATATGCTGGAGAAGTGAAGCAAACTTTAAAAGCAAACAGTCGGAGCAAAGAGTTAGAGTCGTTGAAGTTGAAATTGGAAGAGATAAAGAAAATGCCGTCGATAATTCACCAAATCTGAAGAATATAACCATGAAATGGTTGAATGTTTCAACAACGGCTTCGAAATGTTCCGAGATTATGCGTCGGTCATCTCACCAGACTACAATTGGAGTGAAATTGATGTACCTGGTGTCTGGCAGGTGCTGAATATGGGTGCTGAGGGAATGGCTCATCATAGCCTCGTGCATGCAGCGAGGAGAAAGCCCCAAAGACATTGATCTTTTCATGGACCTGTAGTAAGGGTAAGTGCTGCTGCAGTTCATCTCACCCGATTACATGGATCTTTTGGTGCCTTCGGTTTTCCTTCGCGGAATAGGATTGTTAAGGTTCGGAGGCGATTTGGTTTGCATGTGTCAAATGTAGTCGTACTTTTTGGATGTGTGTGTATTGTATGTAGATTCACTTCATATTGCTGTTATATTGCGTGTATATTGCTTAATATTGCCTTGGTATTGTAGACATATTGCATGTATATTGCTTAATATTGCCTTCGTATTGTATACATATTGCATGTATATTGTTTAATATTGCCTTCGTATTGTATACATATTGTATGTATATTGCCACCCTATGAGAAGTATATTGTGATCATATCCCTATGGTATTGTACTTATATTGCTTTAATATTGCCTCTACAGTGAAGTATATTGGCCTAATATTGCTATTACATCGTATGTCAATGCCATTTGGTCTAATAACATTCTCCATTTCGTTCAAAGTAATCCTCAATTCAAATATCACGGACAGGACAATTGTTATCCATCCTTATATTACCATGAATTGATGTTTCCTTTTGAAATGATAGTTGGAGTTTGCACATCGATTCATATTCAAAAGGAAAGTAATTCTCTCCCTCAATGAATCGTCCTTCAAAAGAAGGCAGCTTTGAAATATTGGGTACAAAATGCAAGAGCCACGGTAAATTCATTGGGCTCAAACCACATCTTACAAAACCAGGATGATTTTTGGCATGCTTGAAAAGAAGGGTCAAATACAATAGAAAAGAAAATCCATTCAAGCTTGGCCAATGGAATGCACAATAACCCTTTTACATCTCCTTCCAACACCAGTGTTTTGCCTGGTTTAGGGTGCCATAAACATGTTTTCTTCCCCTGACTTTAACTAAATGAACTTTAGTTTAATTACTTGTAAGCTCCAGCTAGGTCCTTCTGTTTTCTCTTCTTCCTCTTCTTCTTCTCATGACTCTTAAGAGGCAGTTTGATGTAAAGAAATCCTAAGATTTCCATGTGATGCACACGCAATTGGAATAAATAAACAATAACAAATAAAGGGATCAGTTCATTAGTGGTTACATTTAATCTTATCTATGACAAATGTAAGAAGAAAAATACAAATTTTTTGTCAAGTCTCATCGGATGGTACCGTAGACCTCTAGCTCCATGCGGAATTTGACAGAAGAAAACTGATTCGGAATCTTTCATATTTGTAACCACTTTGCTTCTTCTCCGAGCAGGAAACAAAATAATAATAATAATAATATAATAATAAACGGTGTGATTTCAATTATTTCAAAACATGTATGTCAAAACCGTTTGTTTGACATTATAAGGGCATCTCTCACAGAATTAAGGCCATAAAAGAAACTAAACATGCTATAAAGTCCACATTAATATTTACTTCATCTCCATAATCATAATATTGGGGGAAAAAAACCACGGACAAATACATGAAATGTAAACCAACTCGGTACTGACTCTGAGATTGTGTACATACAACTTGGAACAACCAAACCAATTCAAGCTAAGCCATCTCATACGTATGCCTACATCAAATAACAGTGTATGGTCATCTTCTTTAGAATATTGCAATCAACACTTGGTTGAGACGGACCTGCAAAAACAACTGGCACACACATATGACACACATAGATAGAGTTTATGAATGGGAGTTCCAGAATTAAGACCTCTGTTAATTTGTAACTGCCACCGAGTCTGTTCATAGTGCCAAATGCAGCTATCTTGCACACAGATATGACAAGCCAAAAGAAAACAAGCAAAGTAACAAAGAAAATAGAGGATGGTGACTACAACAACAGGGTTGGTACAAGCATTAAACAAAACAAATAACTGAAAACCAAAAATAGGCACTGCAATGGAACTACTGTCTCAAACAAACTCAGTCATCCAATTGTTGGATATAATCAAAGAAATTACTCAAAGTTTCTCCTCAAACTCGGATAGTGGGGTCATTTGCTCCTTCAAACCCTTCCTCTTACGGATATCTGTCACAAGTTCTGAAGCCTGGGATCCAGCTTCCAATGGATCAGACATCATCATCTACCAATGATCAAAGACACATTGTGGGAAGGCCTGCCCTGAAGTCGAAGCCCTCATTGACCAGAGAACCCAAACATGCAATGACGGGTAGGTATGCCTTCATATTGTACAGTGGAGTACCAGGCCTCTGCATTTCCTGAAACACGTGCCCACGTTTCTGATTAAGAACACCGTAGATACCACTAACAGTCTGCTCTGGAGCTTCGATTTCAACAAGATATACAGGTTCAAGGAGGCTTGGCTTGGCAGTGAGCTGGGAAGCATAGATGAGTGTCCTAGCAGTGGGAATGACCTGACCACCTCCTCTGTGGATGGCATCAGCATGAAGAACCACATCACAGACTTCAAAGCAAATACCCCTCATGTTTTCTTATGCCAATGCAAGCTGAATAGAGGTTGGTTCTGTAGCTCATAATGAATGAGCAAGCAACACAAGCTCCTAAACACAAATCCATCAATTTTTTCAGCAACAAGACACAAGCTCCTAAATAAATAAACAAACTCATAAAAACCCTAGTTGACCAAATGCAAACTCATAAAAACCCTAGTCAATTCACACACATGAAGACATTTACCTCATAAATATGCCTCCCCCCTTAACCCCTCTATTGCAAGCTTCAGTCGGTAATATTTGATCTTCGACGGGTCAATTTTATGCACCGAAAGCCCAGCACTGAGATGCTCGATGAATTGAACGGTCATGATTCCGCAAGACGTACTGTGAGGCCAATAAGTTGGGAAATTACAACTGCATTTATGTAAAATTTTGAAAAAATGAACTAAATTCACAATTCTTACCCATCTCGTTGTTGTGGCACACCTCCAATGATGCAAACTGAGAAAGGCGTAAACCTCGACATCTGCAGCCCCTTTTGCTTCACCTCTTCAACCTCAGAATCTTCATAAAACTTCATATTGTACAGCACTCGTGCAAGCGTATCGCTAACAGGTTGCAGAAGTGTAACCAGCTTCGAAGATTTGGTATAATCAACATATGAGTCATACACAGTTGCAGTATGTCGGACGAAATCAATTTCGATTGCAACCCAATGGGACTCTCGAAGATTATATGGAAAATACACTCTGCGGACTTTTTTCCAAGCTTGGGCATACCCGTGTTGCCACGTACCGTGCACAAAGTGATGTACATTCTTCAGCTTGTTGGCTGGAAGGTCACTGGTGTTTGAAGCTGCTGCCTTCTTCGATCCACGTGTCTTGCCAGTCGCTTTTAACGGCTCTAGAAATTGCTGCAGACATTGAAATGAAACCATATGACATAATGACGAGGGAAAGCAAATGAAGCAGTGAATGTAACATGGTAAAAAGTGTACCTGCAAGGCATAATCTGCCGTTGTCCAGTCGGTTCCAAATAGCAACGGATGAGAGAGTTGCCGTTTCCGGATAAGAAAGGTTGCCATTTCCAGGTGCTGACAGTTGACATATAATATCAGCACATTTTCAGACAATTGTACACTTAAAAAAGGTGAGAAAACAATTGAATGATCATAATAAAGTAGAGATTTGTGTATTCTTACCCTTGAGCTAATCCATGCCGTTTCATCGATGAGTTTGTAGAAAAAATCAGCGCCCACTGAAAATGCTTCAAGCTGCACCTGCACACTAGAAAAGGCAAACTTGGAACGGTTACGTTTGTACTCATCTCATAAATCTGACTTTGTTGATGACAAATATACACATGCATATTAATAGGATGACAATTGGATTTCGAAGGTCAAGAATGCGAACCTGATATCGTTTTTCCAGGCAGTGCAAAAATCTATTACTGCCTTCACATCTTCAATGGGCAGCGGTTTTGATGGATCAAAACATGGCGGGGTTGCAGTCGCATCCGACACACTCATTGTCCTCTTCTTCCTCAAAGGATCAGTAAATGGACTTAATAATGTCTGGGCCGGGCGCTTCTGTCTACAGCCTTTACCTTCCACTTCTTTTTTTTCAACACTCAAACTACCTTCTTCATCAGCAGCCATACTAATTGTAGGTATACTTGGAGGATTCATCGGACCTCCCGATGGCACTCTGTCAGCTATTTTCCAATCTTCTAACAAAAACATAAGTCTTTGGCAGATTTCGTCACACCCGGCCACATCTTCCGGGGTAGGCAGCTTCTCGGATTGTGCATGCGCAGCTGCTTCATGCACTTGTAAGTCAGGAACTGGAGTGACCATGGCTGCGGAAGGTTCGGCTCCATCACTGGGGACTTGTGTTGCCATTGCTGCCGATTTTGTGGGCGGAGTGACATTGTCATGTAATGGCGACAATTCATTGTCACCTCCTTCATTCATATGAGGAGTATCGAGGTCCTCATGTCCTTCCCCAGCTTCTTTCACCCCACCATCTTGTTTTCGCAGCTGCTCTAGCTCCAGCTTAAAATAATGCTCCATTGATGCCACTGTGTTGCGCAAATCCTCCACACACTTGTTATTTCTTTCAACTTTGGATGACTCCCTCCGTACCATTTCTTCCAACTCATGCACTCTGTTGTGAAGCGCTCGATTTGAACTGACAACTTTGGCGAATTCATCCTTCATCCTTTCAAAGTCACGCTTCAAAGTGCGTAACTCAGTGGACGCCATTTTACCCTGCAATCAGTTATAATGCAAGTGTTACAATATTTCCAAAATATATCGGAACAAAACAGCAGTTCATTTCCTATTGTATTATGACATATATATTGGAATATTGGAAAATAGGTAATGCTTGCCTTAGAAGACGACGGAAGGCTAGCAGTTTCTTCAATGTCCTCATCTTTTTCTTCTACAGAGGCAGACGTGCTGGTTTTTTGTTCAGCGTCATCGCCAACCAACTCAACAAATTCTTCAGTGTTGTCAACACTGTCACCCCAAGTCCAATACGCCTGCTGCTTGTCAATTACAGATGGCCGGATAAGTTGCACATCAACCTGCAATTTACGCAGACAATAGAAATATCAGTAAACTTATAAAATTATATTTTCATATGCCTAAGATTATCATTACAAACTGAACTAACCTCACGGTTTTCGAAGACTTGGCTCATGAGCTCATAAAAACGCGGCAAAGTGTTGCTCCTCCAATGTAGTATACGAGGGATGTAGGCATTATGTTCGTGCACCACCAAATGTAGTGCAGCCAACGCTGGAAATACCTCATAAGCCCAAATCTGGTTTCAGGAAGAAAAGCCTTAGAGATCACATGCTATAACCTTAAATAGGGCATGAAAAGCCAAGAATACAATAAAGAGAAATAATTAGCATGTATTAATTGCAGTCTAAACCTTGCCCTATGATTGACAAAAGTTAAACAAAATACAGCCATCTAGAGATGCATAGAGGCTAAAAGTGGTTCGGGCCACATTAGTCATTAGTCTAAGAGCATTCAACACAAATCAGGAAAAACAGATTATTTCCTAATATCCAATATCCCCCACTTACATAAAGGGGTGAAAATGTAAACTTGTTTTTCTGACAACTTATTTCTATAATGAGGTCATTAGTGTTAACTTAGGGTTGTTGATAGAAAAACACGGGGCTCATCATCAATATTAATGATATAATATTCAGCAAAAACAGAATAATATTACTAATTAAATAAAATAAAACCTTCTGTCCATTTTCTATTCTTGAATTCCCTTCTACCCCTGACCCCCTCCCTTGAATGTTTCTCCCCTTTCCCATCAATTTTTTAACTTTGCAAATTATTATATTTCTTTGTAGAATTCTTTTTTTAAATACCACAGCCGCCCAGAACAGCCACCCAATTTGCTCTCTCTCTCTCTCTCTCTCTCTCTCTCTCTCTCTCTCGCTCTCTCTCTCTCTCTCACACAAAATATCTATCACACACACACACAAACACAATATCATTAGTCAAAAGAATCTGTCAAAAAACAATAACAGTGGACAGAGTTCCTTTTATTCGTCTTCATCCTTCAACAACTAAACCAATCAATCCCCCAAATAAGTAATAATTACAGAAAATAAACATGAACAAATGATGTTTTAGCTCCTCCAATGCAGCTCTCAATTTCTCTCTCTCTCTCTCTCTCTCTCTCCCCCATTACTGTTTTAGAACCCATTACTGTAAACAAATGATATTTAACTTCAACAGGAATCGAAATGTGCTCACCTGAAGTGCAAAGGCAAACCCTTTAGGTGGTACTCTCTTGGTCTACCGGTTGCCGTTGTCTTTACTTGCTTTTCAGATTTTTTTGTTTTCGAAGCTTTTTTCGGCCCTTTCACTCGCTGGTAATCTGCACACAGTGCCCTCAGCAGTGACGCATTTGTCTTCGCATAAGACACAGCACCCCATGGATATTTACCAAAATCTTCAAGGTCTTCCGCCAACTTCAAATATCGCATGTCAATGTGGACATGTTTTTCACTGCCCAACAGCACAAACACAGCGAAGTATACAAAGCCGAGCTTCAATGCATCATCCGCATCAGCGCAGTCGCGGAAGGCTTTTTCTAATTCCAACAGGCTCACTGTTTTATTGTTGCCAAAATACTTCCTTTTCAATGAGCAGTTGTCATTACTGGGAATCGGAATAAAGGGAAGGTTTCCAAACCTTAGCCCTGTGACGACGCAAAATTGCTGGGGTGTGAATTGGATCACCTTATTGCCAACAATGAATTTGATCCCGTTCACTTGGGAAACAGTCTTCGGATCAGCTTTCCTCAGCAACAATCCGTGTACAATTGGCGACGTCCACTTCAGGTCCTCGATGAGTAGGAGATGCCCAAAACAACTCTGTTCGAAGGTTCGTAGCTGTTGCTCACTGAATTTCTCTTTTATCGTACTTATTGCACTCTTTGTATGGGATAGCGCCAATGCTTTTCCTTGGAACTTTTCTTCCTCTCCAATCATCAACTTAATTGGCGAAACCATGTTTCCCTGCACGGCATTATTATTAAGAAAAATTCAGTCCGTTGCAATCTGGACAATAACAAGCAATACACAATTCAACGGCCTATTATAGGATATTAAGTGAAAATTAAACACAAATTACAGCACATGAACCACAATAAATTCCCACACTAAATATGCATCATAAAATGAAACTGAAAACACGCATCACAAACGAACCAATCCTACATGACAAATAGCAACTTGAGGCACTTCGTCATCCATAGCATGAAAATCAATCAGACCAATAGAAGTTTCATCCAAGCATGAAGTAATTCACAGTTAAAATACAGAAATTTGCAATCTCTCTAATTACTAAACTTCACAAAATCAGTCACAGGTTAGTGAAATTATCCTTTTCAAATGAAAACCGTACAAAAAGACAAACTAGTCAATAACAAATACAAAACCTACCTTAGAATCACTCGTTTTGCACACAGACCCGAATTGGAAATCGCAGAAACACCTAAACAAAAGCTGGAATTCTGTCTGTGAGAGGATTGAGAATGAGGAGGAAGTATGTGAAAAAAGTCAGAACCGAAACCAAGAATTTGGGTTTTTTGAGGCCCTGAAAGAGCAGAGAAGAAGAGAAAGACGTCCATTGAAAACATGAAAAGAGAGGGAACTGAGAGATTGTTGAAGGGAGAGAGCATTTAACGAAGCAACCCTCTCTTTCACCTTCAAGAACCCCCTCAACAAACCCTAACATTGACTGCAAAGAGAGAAAGAGAGAGTGCCATTATATTTTCCCACTTCCTTCTTTTATATTTTCTCTTCACAAGGCTTCCTAAAAAATGCCATTAAACTACTTGTCTCTCACTCAGTTTTTCATGTGTCCTTCAAATTACTTGTCTCTCACTCCAATTTCTGTCTCACAAGGATTTAAGTCTTTACCTTACATGATCATTGACAATTAACTAAATATCTATACACACATCTCCAAACACCAGATAATCATGACAGTTGAAGCTACAATAGGAATGTGCAGTAGCAGAAGCCTAATTCAGAACAATTCAACAACAAGACATCAGGAAACAATTTATTGACTTCAACGTATAATGTCATGGAACATCCTATCAATTAGTGGCAACCACAATCATGACTCCAATATGCCCTCCTTTCAAATGTAAGGAAATTAATGAAATTGGCACCATCCCTTCAGTTTTTCCTTAACAAAATCAGAGGTTTGTATGTATTGTATGTGTTATCAATATCAAAGATAAATGAATAAATAAACCATCAAAACTGTAAAAAATGTTTCTTACACATGTACAATTCAAAAATTAAAAGTTCACCTCATAAACAGAGTTGTCTAACTATCCATACACAAAAAAGACAAGCAAAAGCTTAAAGAGTTAGCTTATAGCAAAATCCATGGCCCCATTTCTCTAAACCACACCTGCTGGTGGCATGTTCCCATCTTCACTCATTTCCCACTTTGTTTTAAGCATACAATGATCAAGCACAAAACAGCAAACTTTTAAAGAACTCATATTACACCACATATGGTTCCTTGCCCTTTGTTTAGACATTGAATATTCATCCCCAAACTGAAATTCCAAATAATCACAAGAGAATATGAAAAACATAGAGAACTTATCCATATCCAATATGCAAGCCCTTAAGTTAGCAAACAGAGTTAAAGCAAAACCAATTTTAGTGAAACCCCTAAACCCTATACCCATTTCAGAAAACCCACTAAACCAATTTCAGAGAAACCCCCAAACCCTAAACCAATTTCAAACAACCCCGTCAACCAATTTCAAACAACCCCGTCAACCAATTTCAAACAACCCCGTCAACCAATTTCAAACAAACCCATAAACCCTAAGCCGTAAAAGAATTCCGATGAACAGTACCTGTTTGCTGTGAATGATGGCGTTGTTCTTCGATGCACAGATTTCGCTGGGAGAGGAAGACAGAAGCGACGAGAGATGAGAGAGTTAGAGCGGAGAGACGAGAGAGTTAGAGCTGAGAGACGAGAGAGTGAGAGCGGGAGGTCAATTTCAGAAAATGTGTTAGGAGAGTAATAAGGGTACAATAATTTTCTATTTATAGTTGATAGTTATAAAAAAATTAGGAAGGGATGGTATTTTTAGTTAAACTTATTAAAGGGGTGGCACTGAGGGTCATTTCCCTAAAATAAATTCCTTTCTTCTAACTGAAACCTTTCACAACTAGCCTTGCCTTAAACTTTGGGTTGGAGTTGTTTTCTTCGGTCTTCAGTCGATACACCCATTTGTTCTTTAGTGCTCTTCTACTTTTTGCTAGGTTCACCAGATCATATCCGTGGTTCTCACACAGAGATTACATCTTCATGTATGGCTTTCAACCACTCATCTTTATGATTATGAGTCAATGCTTCTTCATAGTGTTCCGATTCTCCCCCGTCTGTTAGTAGAACGTAATCATGTGGAGAATACCTATTCGAAGGTCTTCGTACCTTGGTTGATCTTCTTAGTTGGAATTCGACAACTTTTTATGGGCTTGTGCTTCTTGCCCCTTATCAGCTACCTCATCCATTACACCATCAGCTATATGACCATTAATGATGTCATCATCAACTGGTTCATTAATAATAGGATCATTAGTTGGATCATCAGTATCATTGGATTCATCTCTCTCGTCATTGCACTTTAAGGGATGAGAAATTGGATCTAATTTAGCTAGATATTCTCTAATAATAGGATCGTTAGTTGGTTTATCACCTCTTTGCATGTCTTCAATGTTCTAATCTTCAAAGAAGACAACATCTCTACTTCTGATAAACTTTCTAGCTATAAGATCCCATAACCTGTAACTGAATTCTTCATTTCCATATCCCAAGAAGATGCATTCTTTCGACTTCTCGTCTAGTTTGGATATCTCGTCTTTGGGAATATGGAAAAAAGCTCTGCAACCAAACACTTTCAAATGAGTGTACGTACATCATTTCTCGACCAAAACTTGTTTGGGACTTCACCATTCAAAGGTGCTAAAGCAGAAAGGTTGATTAGATCAACCGCGGTCATTAGAGCTTCACCCTAAAAGCTCTTGGGCACCTTGGCATGAGATAGTATTGTTCTAATTCTTTCAACAATTGTTCTATTCATTCGCTCAGCTATGCCATTGTGATGAGGAGTCTTCAAAAAATATCGTTCATGCCTGATTCCATTACTTCTATAATAGTTTCTAAATACCCCCATATATTCTCTTCTGTTATCAATGCGAATACATTTCAAGCTTCTACCAGTCTCTCGTTCAATGCTATCATAAAACCACTTGAAAACTTCATACACTTGATCATTTGTTTTAAGTGCATAGGCCCATACCTTTTTGGAATGATTGTTAATGAATGTAACAAAATATCTTGCACCACCAAAAGTACTAGTGGTCATAGGACCACAGACATCAAAGTACATAACATCCAATACATTGGGTTTTCTTTGTGCAGGTCAATGTTGAAACGAAGCTCTATGTTGTTTTCCATCCAAACAATGCGTGCATTATTTTAGAGGCATGCCTTTCTTCATCCTAGTCATCTCTTTTGACTAGAATCTAAAACCATTTCTCACTCATGTGACCGAGCTGTTTACGCCATAGCTCAATCGAGTCTTCTGCGAGAACATTTACATACCCATTACTGACTTTTGCATGTGTCATGTAAATGGTGTTTT